GGGACCAGCCGCCTTCCTAAATGCATCGCTGCAATGGCGAGCAAAAAAACTGAGAAATGCTCTCAACAAATAAAGTGACCCGAAAATATTCCCTTCCACCATTGATGGATGGCAAGAATTTTGCTGCTGGCCAAGAAACATTTTCTATATCTCCCATACCGACAGACGCATCAAGATAGACAACGAACATGATGGATCAACTGACCGATGAATTATCAAGATACTAAACGATGGCAGCAAGATAAATCATAGAGAAAGGATTAAGAACGAGGATGAAGATGATAAGTGCAAGAATGTATATTTATAAAGGCATGGAGATGAAATGATAGAATGCGAAAGGCCACACACATGCATTAAGTGGCCTAAAGTCTTAGGAAAATGAGTTTAAAGGGCCAGGTACATGGAATCGAATACAAGATAACAAAATACCTGGGGGTTGACGATTAAGGAAAAGAACGTCAATTAGTTCACGAGTAGGTAAAAGAATCATTCATTGATAATAAATACTGCTGTTACAGCTAAGTTCATTCATGGCAATTAATTATAAAAGAAAGTTAAGACATCAAAACGTCTCGATTACAATTCGCTCCAAGCAGACCTCAGTTGTTCCCTAAGCTTCGCCCAATCCTCGTCCTGCCTTGAAGAAGCGGCGTTTATCTCGGCTACAACTTCGTTATCAACCTCCAACTGTTGGTAACGTTCAACTAAAGACTTGGTTCGCTCTACTTCTTGGGAAACATTACGCTCTTTAGCAGCCATCCTAACCTTACAATCATCCATCCTTGCTTGAAGTTCTTTCATCTGTGCAGCCAAGTTCATCATTAAAGAATCTTCAACCTTAATTTCAGAGGAGACTTCAATCAATTTAGCCTCGGCTTTGTTAATCTACTAAAGCAGAGATTCCTTCTCAGAGGAGGCACGAAGATACTGAGTGCTTTTAGCCTTCAACTCGACACTTCTAGCCAGCAAGGAAAGAACTTCAGAGTGAATGACCTTCAACGTCGCCTTGAAGTTAGAAGAAACATTGAGCGACCGAAGCGTAAGTGCTTGTGCCAACTTCGTGCTCAAAAGATCAAATTCCTCCTTCTGTTTGGCAGCACTGGCCATACAAACATCCATGTCCTTGTACTTGTGTGCTTATGCCCCTCGGAGGCATCTTGTTCGTATCCAAACTGTAATTTTCATATTCGATAAATACCCATTTTTTGGACTTTATTCCAAGAGGTTTGTTCCTTATACAATCGTCTGATCCTCTTTTAATTGTTAGCGAGTAACCACGCGAAACAATTGCTAAGTCAGTTTGTCCATCATTCCCCCGTCTTTCTTTGAGCATGTTCAACTATCATTATTCTAGAAAGTCAACCTCATAACAAGGGATATAAAATGTACAGCTTTCAATAAAGTTTGTTGTACCCTACTTTAATTTTGATATGACTTTTTCGTAATCTACTCGTTCTCCTCTACTAGTGTTACTTTGTTTTAAGAGTAATGAAATTAATAGTCGTTCATTAAAGTATTTGCCCTACATGACATATATGTCACCATTAATGATTAAAGACTTACCACTCTCCATTTATTAAAAAAAATGCTTAATTACATTAAAGAGAGAATTTATCGTTTTTTTTATATATATAATTTTGTGAGTTAATTAGTAGCGTAATAGACAAGAAATATATTCCTACAGTATCGCATAAAAAAATTTCTATCACGTGTGATGTGACATTGTAACAAAATTATGTTATTTTCAATTTCTACCATAGTCACCATTTGCCAATGTTGTCGGACAACTGCGACCAACGATAACTTCCTTCCAATTGACAATCATCCTAGTTTGACGACTTACTATTTTCCTATAATTCTTACCGTTAAAGTAAAATAATAGAATCAAATCGGAAATAGTCGCAAGCTGATTTTATGTATAGAGATTGTTAGAAGCATGCTACAGAAAATTCGACCAAAGGAATCAACTTGCAGCACATCTTAGTTCAATCAAATCATACCTTAGGCACAATGGCATTTCAAACTGAGGGCAGGAAAGAGAACGAAAAACAAAAAGAAGAATGAACAAAAACTTCCCAGCACGGTAGGAGCAGCTGATCCTTTCATTCATTAGTCCCATTGCTGACCTTGATCTCCGAAAGACGCTCGACTGGCTGTCTGCAGATTGGGCACCTGTTTGTTTGGAACCTCAAGACTTTTGCACACCCACTGCACTTACACTGCAGTACAAGAATTGAGACCAAAAAATTAAAGTTGGTCACAAGCTACTAATGAGCACCTTACTGCTAAAAAATAAGGGAAATTGCAGCCATTTTTCTCCAACTTTTATCGCCTTCTGCACTCTTATTCCCAACTTCTTATTTGTTGTTCCTATTTTGAAAGAGCAGAAGAAGGTAGAGGTTGGGGATATCGATCGACTGCAATTTTTCCCGAAAAGGTCACATCACCAGTGAAATAAATTGGGCGCTCACAGAGAGAGGAGAGAAAATTCGGGAACAAAGAACACCAATCAAGTGTGTGTAACATGTTGTCTATAAAATGTGTGTGAGAAATAGAGGGACAGTAAGTACCATGTATCGATAGGGAAGGACAGTAATGTCTCTGGGTTCGGAAAGGCATATCCCGTCCAAGTCACCCTCAACTGAAGTTCCAATACCATAGATCTCTTGTAACTCATATTTCATGCCATTAATCCATAATACTTGCTTCACTGCCCTAACTTGATATTCACCTATCTCCATCTCAAACATAGCCTGAGTTATCGGCACGTTTTTTGATCCACTATCTACGCTTCCGTTTTGGTTATCGGAGGATGCCTCTGCCTTAACCGCTAAAGGAAACACATCCATGCCACCCTTTTTAGACAATTCTACCTCCTCAAACATTGAAAGGTCTATCCCTGTTCCGGACGGTTGTCTTAATTTCTGGGCTAAACCTGTTTGAAACTGCACTGTCACTGGTGGGAGTAAGCTTTCTTTCATCGGGGTGAGGCAACCATCTTCACCTTCCTTGGCAAAGAAAACTGTAGTAATGCTGCATATACGGCAGAAACGGGAACTCAAGATTCAATATCATCTTAATTTTAAAAGAAGTATACTTAAAAGGTCCCGAAACTAATGTGATAAAGAAGTAAGCGAAACCGATCACTGTAAGAGAATATCCATGTCAAATGAAAACTAAAAAATAGCAACTACACCAGCATGAAAGGACAGCAAAAATAAATAATTTCAAATTCAATTATTAGAGTAAGACAAATCAGAATTCAAGTTTCCAGGATTGTATAATAGAAATCTTTGGCACTATTGCATCTTCCTTAATGACACAAGAATCAAATGAATATGCACATCATGATGAACTCATGAGAAAGAACTGCCAGAAGATAAATTCTCTCTTTATTTCCCTTCATTTTAATAACTCATAAGAATAGATCACTTCAGATTGCACCCCCCCCCCCCCCCCCCCCCCCCCCCCCCCCCCCCCCCCCCCNNNNCACACACACACACACCCACACCCACACCCACACCCACACCCATTGTGACAAATTAATTTTGGACCCATGAAAATAAGTTACTTATGCCGTTACTCAAAGCGGCAATCATTGTGGTCTGGAGCATAACCTGTACTAACATGCATTTTGAAATACGAGGATTATTATGATGCAAAACCACAATAGTAATCGAATAATGCAAAGAACTAGTGTCCCAAAAATGAGCCTGCTATATCAATAATGAAGAACTGACCAGTAAGGGAAACTGAAATCTCTACTGAAGTTAATGCATCAGGTGATATTATAGTTCCAGATTGAGCTTGGACCGCAACAACGACGACAACAACGAAAAAAAAAATTGCAAATTCCTTCCCACCCCCATTGTTCATTCCTCATTATCCTTCCACAGCACATTTTTCATATTTTGTTCATTTATATCCTTAGTTGCAGGCCATACTAATGAGTTTTTAATTATTTCTGAAATACATTTTCATATTTCAGTTTGTTCATTACAGTACCCAAACAAATTTTTTTTTTAGTCTCTTACTTTTACATTCTAAAAATGTATCAATCTCATTGAGATTCAATATCACTTATCATTATTGATATATAGAAAATATCAGGTTAAAAGTAGCGTTCAATGTCTTAGAAATAACTACGGTATATAGATGCAAAATCGTAGATACGGAGATTTCGTTGTTTTGCCCACTTTATCATTATGAAGAATTATATATAAAATGATAACATCTACTTGATAACTCACCAGAATTGATGGCAGGGATATTTGTAATCTAAGAAAATTACTCCCTTTTATCGTGATTTATTAATATCATTTTGCTTGTAACTTTATTCGCTCCCTATTTCAAAATGGCAAAATAATCATGCATGCCTAGACAGGAGAATTATCTAAGTTCCGGCACGGTTTGTCATTCGACTTAAAACAAGAAATTGATTGGACAAAGGGTGTTACGGCACATGACTGCCTGCCTGGTGGAGGCAGCTCCTCCGGCCAGTACTATCAAGTTTTTGGCAATATTCCATCATTGAAGAACTCAAGGTGCACATTATAGCCCAGGCCTGCCCCAACCCATATGGTCAATTATGAGGAAATTACTTAAAACCAGTTGTTTAGTTTGATCTTTCTAAAAATCAGGTTTTAACTTTATTTAATCAAAAATCAGGTTTTAATTTCACAATTAATATTAATAATGATATTTTAAACTAAATTAATCTATATGCCCACCCCTACCCCTACCCCCAAAATTTCAATCACAATTCCCAAACCCTCATCTCTCTTCCGTCTCTTCCCCTTCTCCCTCCTCTCCTCCCTTCTCCTCCCCCTCTCTCCCGTCTCCACTGCCCGTCGCGTCCTCCCCTTCTCCTCCCTTCTCCACCACCGTGGGGGCAATTTTGCAGCGTCTAGAGGGCCTCGATTTCCCCATAGGCCAACAGCTTTGAAAGATTAGCGAGGAGCCGCCTCCTCTACCTCCCCCTCCCTTATCCTCCTTGGCGTTCACAACATTGAGGCGCTGCTGTGAGTCACAGCAACGCCTCCACCGCCCGCCACCTCCTCTCCCCATCCCTTCTCCTCCATGTCGTTCACTGCGTCGAGGCGCTGCTGTAAATCGCAACAGCGCCTAGACGTTGTTGCCCCTAATGTCACGACGCCGGTCAGATCTGGGTCACTGTCGGCGGCTGGGCTGTAGTTTGGTGTTGCAGTTAGGGTCGAAGTTATGGTTGGTGGTAGGAGATAACTGCGGCGGATGATTTGCAGATTATGGTTTGTGTTGTTGCATGTGGGCTGGAGACTCGTTGTGCGTAAAGCGTTGGTTGGGTTGGGGTATAGGTTTGGCTGCGACAAAAAGAAGCAAGAGATTTGGCTGCGGGTATGTGTGTGTAACAGACTGGTTGTGGGTGTTGTGGGTGTGTGGCGGGGTCGACAGCGACAGTGGTGGTTTTCTTGGTGTGGTGGTGCAGGCGGAGATGGCGGTGTACTGGGATTGGGGGACAGGTGTTTGGGTGTATGTGACCAACTATTTCGATTTGTGACCTGTGACCAAGTATTGTTACTGTACTAGAATTGGGGGACATGTGTTTGGGTGTATGTGACCAATTATATGGTCCCATGACCTTAAAATTCATTAATCTATGACTCAAAATATAATTTGTGACCAACAAATTTGGAAATATGTGATCTTTGTTATCTACAATTTTTTTAACTTGTGACTAATTAAAATCTGTGACCTATAATTTTTTTGATGAGTGACCAATGAAGTCAATTGTGACCTATAGTTTTTTTAATTTGTGACCTCGAAATAATCTGTGACCAATTAATTTGATAAGTTGTGATTGAAAATTAAATTTTTAACTACTCAATAAAATATATGTGACCTCAGAATCGGAGCAGCTACCGAAATTAAGCGGCGGCGAACGGTCATCGAAATAGTCGTCGAAATTAAGTACGGTCGGGGAATAATCGCCGGAGCAGTAGGGGTGGTGGAGGTGGGGTGGGTTAATTATATTATATTACGGTTAAATATTTAATTTAATATAATAATTGTAAAATATAATTAATTAATTCATGAAAAAACCTGATTTTTGCAATTTTAAACTTTGGGACCTGATTTTTTATTTTCTCAAAGTAAATCCCTGAACCATGAACTTTTCCCATACCAAATTATACATTCAAATAGCCAGTCCAACCCAAATACCCAATTCTCTTGCCTCCGCCTCACAGTATTGGCACAACCGTTTTGCCTCCATCTCCACTCAGCCTCCGACCCTCCGTCCTCGGCATCTGCCTTCGCCTCTTCCTTAGTCCTCTCGCCACTCAGTTTACAGTCCATTCATTCGCCATTCAAGTTTGGTTGCTGCTCGCAGGCTCGTAGCTGCCCCTTCATCCTCGAGTTTGGTTGCTACCCCTTCATCTTCGAATTCGCACCATCATTTTCCAAGCTGCTGCTCGCCGCTCCGTCGGGCCTAAACCGCCATCTAATCTTTGTCAGCAGCAGAAGAAGAAAGTGAGGTGTAGCCCCGATTGCTAGCATATATCATCGTTTTCCTTTTCTAATTTTTTGTTATTTTGATTTGTGTAAATTGTAATAATGTCTATTTTTTTTTCTTTTGAACACATGAAATTGGTGCCTTGCACNCGTGGGGCAACGAGCCGAGCCGGCTCGGCTCGGCCCATTGCCATCACTACATTCATGTAGGTGAATAGCTTATTACCAAATTAGATATTTTATTTGATGCATGTTTTACTTGTAATTATATAAGTAAAATTTTATAATAAATAAATGGTACTAATTAGAGATAAAAATAAATTACTTGTTAAAAGAGACACTACATATTTGGCTGAACTTAAAAGTACTTAAATTTTTTTATTTCTACTAATATCTTTATATATAACTTATTCATACTTATAAGGAAGAAATTTTTTAAATTTTGACCATGAAACATATGCTATTTTGAAAATAAGTAACTTGCTCTATATTTAATATTGTCAATAAAAAAAATTATTAAAACTGATTTATTTATAAATTATTCTAACCACGTGTATATTATTAAACCTTAGCCAAATATGAACATGAAAATCAATTCTTTTAGACCCTCGAAATTCATGGTCAGTTTTCCAGTTCGGGTGGGATTCCTCACCCACGTGGAATGTGTTCAGTAATGATGTATTTTTGATTGCGTGTTTTGGCAAATACTTTCAATTGTTTGGAATCATAGATTGTCAAAGTTCTCATTAGGTATTTTCTTAGTTTTTGATTTGTGGATATATATATCATTTATTTATGTCTATTATACTTCTGTTAGTTTATATTTTTTAAGGTGAGCGTCGATTTCCTATTTGACAAAAAAAAATGTTGAGAAGATCTAGTGGAACGTCTAAGAGTAGGCATCTAGACTTGTACACATTGAGTGCCCACACCCTTTGCTAATAGTGTCACGAGCTTCTTAGCCTCCTAAACCCGATCTCTTGTTACTTGAGTTCATTCAAATTGTTTTTTTGTTTCAGCCCATCCTAATTTCATTTTTTGGTTGTCCCTATATACAATCTATCACTCTGGAAACGAGTTTCATTTTATTTTAACTCTGGCGGTAGAATCTAATCCCACTCAGCTATATAACATTAAATTCATTGAACAAAAAAAAACTCTTATTAAAGAATAAAACTCCATCACAACAATGAATAAACATTGCAAAAAATTTCCTTGGAGAAACCAATAAAATAGTAAAATAGAAGCAGCAAAGTCATCAAATCCTTTCCTGTAAGACCATCAATGCATTACAAACACAGTTCTCTTAACAATTTTTTTCTTTACATTTACAACCCAAAGTACAATTTTATCTTTTTTTCAAATTCATTCCAAAACGTATCATAGCTCAATGCAAAATCATTTCAAATTCGGTATAAAATCCCAATTCGAGGTCACCATTGAATCATCACTTAACAACAATATCCAAAAATAAAATAGAATTAGCATTAAGGGAAGACAAAAAATAAATAAATAAATAAATAAATAAAGAAAATACTCAGAAAGCTCATATTACCTTCCAGCCATGGTGGCGTCGAAAGTAAATGCAACTAGGTACCTTCCAGGATTCACTTCGTCAGGCTCAATCCTTAAAGTCTCTTTTTTTTAAATTAACATCGTTCCGAATAATTACAACCTTCTGTTGCTCCACATGGGGTGCCGGAGGCTGCATCGTGTGCCCACACACGTACTGCCCCGTTAACCCAACTGGGCTGGGCAGATGTGTGGTGATGGTCAGCAACAGGCAGAGGAACCGTCGTGGTTGGCGGAGGCAGCAATGGGTAGCTACCAGGGTACTGGTAATAGGCGGGAGTGTTAGTTTAAGGCGTTGCCACCATGGGCGGATCCCCAAAAAAATTGGACCGGCTAAAACGCAAAAATAAAAAAAAAATAAAAAAATTTACTAATTTTTTTTTTTTTTTACTTAGGATTTGGGTTGGAGAAACGAGCTGTAGCAGAGGCTGGCCCGTCCCTAGATCTGCCCCTGGTTGCCACCGCAAAAAACATATTTTCTTTTATTTTCTTACAATGAACTAAAGTCCCAGACTCCCAAATCAGGGGTTTAAACAAAAGATTGGAGAGGAAGGATTTGGTTTTGTTTTCGCGGTATTTTTTTTTTTTTTTATGGGTAATCACGTAAATTTTATAAATCAAAAATAAAAGATAATACACAATGAGTGCATTATCATGTTAAACAAGATAGAAACGATAAAAAATTCGACAACTCTTCTATCGGACTAACGGTTGCAGCCTTAAACCAACTATACAAAGTCAAGTAAAACAATTCTCTAAATTACTCTGTCGTCCATATTTGGTCTTCAAAGCATCTGCAGTTTCTTTCTCTCCACACACACTAAACGATGCATCATAGGATGAGATCTCAAACAAGCTTACTATTCTTATCTCGAAACTTACTCTTCCATGCCCACACCACGTCCTTGATATATCTTGGGAACACCCAACTCATATGTTGCGAAGCCAGAATATCATTCAACATCCAACGAACACCATCACAATGAATGAACAAATGATCGATCGTTTCTCCATCCCTCTTACACAAATAGCACCACTCCATTATACAATAACCCTTTTTTCGAAGATTATTCGCCGTTAACACCTGTCCCTAAACTGGCAACCCTCATATCTTGCATTGAGATATCAACGACAGCAACATACTTCTAGATGAGAATTTTACACCTAAAGTTTCAGATTTTGGTTTAGTTAACTTAGCATTCATGCCCCTTCTAAGACTAGGGTTAGATCAATTTACTCAACTCCCAATTCTGTAGCAGTTCTTGAAGTATTATATCCACCTTCAACAAGAAGTTTTTGAAGCGAGATCAATGATATAATGCCCCAATTTCTGGCTAGCCCCACTGAAGTTGCAACTTCAATCTAGCAGCATTAGATGATAGGCTAAATGAAATGTGAAATTAAATAATTTATTTAATTATACTTATCATTTAATGTCACATCGTCACCTAGATTGGGGTTGCAATCAGTGGGATTAAATAGCATTACTCTGACTAGAATGGGGTTATAAGGGATAGAAGTGATGATGTCAGAAATGTGTTGGCCATCAAAATATAATCCCAATGAAACTGGAGTAATCCTCCCCATTGGGGTTGAACTCAGTCTATATGGCATTTACATGACATTAAATGATAGATTCATTTAGATACAAAGTTACATGACTCATTTAATTGAGTCTATAATTTAATACAAAGTAATTACCACATAGACTGGGGCTCAACCACAGTGATGATGAATAGCTTTATTCAACTGTAGTGAATGGAGCAATATACAATCACAATATGAAGGGTCTCCATTAATGAGATACAAGAGATAGAAATNTGCACGTGCATCGCATGTGCCTTCACTAGTTTGTGTGTATAAACCCCAGCCCGACTTACAGAGAGGAATTATGGTCTACTCCATCCCGATGGAACCATGGCATACAAAATAAAAGAAAACAATAATATAAAGAAATCAATGATGTTCAATTGTTCATGATGTTGAAATATCATCAATAAGGGAGAGTTAAAACATGAGATTTCTACTGATTAAAATATTCCTGTAGTTGGAAAAACAAGCTATGAACTACGTAGAGACTTCAGAATCCACAATTAAATTTCTATATTTGAAATTAATGCAAATATATTCAAATATTGACCATACTAAACAAAAACTATTTTAGTAATCCAAGCAAATTTTTACGTCGGAGAAAAATTTTCCCATAAAAGGAATAACTCGCTCCAACTCCATACCCATTGAGTGCATCAAAAAGGGACTTCAACCCTTTCCCACATTTAATTTGTCCACTTAATACATTTTTTTTTTTTTTTGAAACCCAGCATTTAAATATTTACCATAAAAAAACCAATATAAACACATAAAATGAAAAGAAGATATACCTTGAAACATTGCTTCTGCAACGGGAAATCACTCCTAACACCAGGAAACTTGAGCAGGGTCCAAAGTGAATAAGAAATGCAGAAATCAAGCTTAGACGGATCATAACCTATATTTTTCTCTGTCTCAAAGCGATTAGACAGACGAACGAATGAGGTGAAAAAATAAGGCAAAAAAATTACAAGAACACAAGTTGACCTTTTTATCCCTTCCTGTCACCCAGCTATCAGTTCTATGCCAACACCAACACCAAATCTAGATCAACCTCAAAAACTAACCAATATGCGCTTAAGGAAACATAGGCCCTGATCCCAGGAAGACTTCAGATTTGAATTTAAAGCTATATGTATTTTATAACTAAGATAACAAGTAGTTACTTTCGGTTCTCGTGAAGCTAACTAGTTCCGAACAACATATCAGACAAAACGACCAGCTAGTAGGAAAAGGGAAGGGATCTTTACAATCTATCATGTAATTCCATAGTTTATAATATAATGACAGTTTGCAGTGGTACAATTGTACAAACCAGAAAAACGAGATTGTTTATTTGAGAATATATTAAACACCATAAAAGCATTTCACAAATTTAGTAAGCAGAAAATTGGAATTACACAGCGCTCCAAATTAAAGCATCGCAACTTAACCTTAGACATTTTTATTGGTTAATTGATATGTACAGATTGACAATATCAGACTTGCTTTCGTTCACACTTCACACCGAATAATAACCATTCCCGTGTAAAGCAGTGAGCAAGAATAGAAATTTAAAACCATTAAAAAGGAAATACAAGTCTTCTAAGCTACAATTTTTGCACCATCCCAAATAAGATGTAAGAAAAGAAAAATTGAAGTAGTCAAGGTCCTCGATTGGGGGAGACCTATCAGGAATGACACTTAGTTTGGAAGGCAGCAAAACTATTGCAACAGAAAGTACGACAAAGTCATCTGAATATCTAGTTTTTTACCGTCAGGTCCCGTTTGCTCTCCTGGAGAGCTAACATAATAAAATTAACTTCTAAATTCTCCTGCTATTCATTCCTCCGCCTGCCAATAACCTCTCCCAGTAGGGAAGTTTCTAGTAAATGGAGCAGTTAACTATATTTGTGAAATTACAGGAAGATCTGGAAAAAAGAAGGTGAAAAAATTGTAAATTCATTCTCATGGTTGAATCCTTTTCCAGTAGAAGGAAAACCAGCCAAGAATAATGGCAAAAAAAGCAGCCACATGAAAAAAGATGCGGAGGCCGTCCAAGAACTTCATATACAAAATATAATACCTATTTCCTAACTAGCAATCCAAAGTTGTATTCGAGTTTGATCTTCAAATAAACATGCACAGCACATAAAATGTTTACACCATGCAGTCATGAACCTTGTCATAATCCAAAAAATTATATTCTCAATAATTGAAAAAGAATTTAACTAATGAATCCAAAAGTGGAGACAAGCATTACCTATGTTGACAAAACACATGTTCCTATTCATAACATATTCTCAATAACTGAAATGGACTAGATATCCCAGCTTCAAATTAAACAAATCATATATTCATCTCTATAATCATTACCAACGAGAACAGCAATCCTAAGCAAATATTTTAAAGCAAATTAAAAACCACAATAGTTCCTCAAACTTAATAAGAAACAAAACCACATGTTTGAAAATTAAACAAGCCTCATTTCGTCTGAGTAAGAGTAGTCAAAATCTATTTCAATATCAAAATAGTACCAGTCATTTAATTTAACAAAAAAGCAAAAAGAAATAAACTTTAGCAATTCAGGTCCATATTCGAACTCAATCGAGGGGAATCTCCACATCACCATCGGTAATCTCCTGCTGCAAATCCTTCGGGTCCTTCCCATCAACCGTACACCCAACGGAGACACACGTACCAAGAATCTCCTTCACTGTACCGGACAGATCTTTCGCCATGGACCTCGGACTCATAACCTTAGCAATCTCAATAACATCATCCAGCGAAATGTTCCCGTTGTGCTTGATGTTCTTTGTCTTCTTGCGATCACGCTCAGGCTCTTTCAGGGCCTTTATAACTAGGGCAGCAGCGGAGGGGACGACTGTGACCTTGGCCTGGCGATTCTGGACGGTGAGCTTAACTGTGACGCGAAGGCCCTTCCAATCCTTTGCAGTTTCCTTAGCAATGTCCTCACCGATTTTTTTGGGGGACAGGCCGAGGGGTCCAATTTTTGGAGCAAGGGAACTGGCAGCTCCGACCTCGCCACCAGTGACCCGGACGAACACATCCACTACCTGGGACGGGTCGAACTTCGGCGGCATTTTCCGGAGAGATACAGGAGAGTGCCGGCGGCGGAGTTTTGGGAGATATCTGAATGGGGGCGCCGCAGTGAAATGTGGGAGAGCTTGCCTTCTGAGGTGGTTATATGAACTAGGGTTTTCGCGGGACGACAGAATGAAATTGAAAGGACTGGTTTGTCCTTTTGAAATTAGGGTTATTTATTTTTGGAGAAATTGAGGTAAATAGTTCTTAAATATTTTACACAATAAAATATTTTTCTACTTTTTAATTACACATTCTTCAAAAAAAATTACTATTTAAATTATCATTTTTTCTTAATAATGACCATCAATTATGGGCCCGATACTATTTTGTAATTGATATTGTTACCACTAAACATTAATTTCTCATTTGACCATTAGTACTGGCTAGTCGGTCGACAAGTTAATTATCTAATGTAAATATTATTCAATTAAACGTAATAGACTTACTCATGTTCAAATGTATAATGTTTTTCAGTTAGAATGAAGTTTTCGTGACTAATAACTCCATTGGATTGAGTCATTTTTTATATTACTTGACTCGATTATATTTAATCGAGTCAGTCAAGATTCTAGTAGTGAAATAATTGATATTAACTCATTTACCAGTTGAGAGCAGTGGATTAACATAAACTTTGTATTGACTCATTTAAAAGTAGTAGAGACCTTTTTGGATGTTGAAGTACTAAAGTTTGTAAAAGAAGTGATAAAAAGACAATGTGAAGATTACACCACCATCTTCCTTGAAGTTACTTCTCAATTTTTTTAATATCTAACTACTATTTTTCATTCCTCACAAAAGAAAAATAAAAATACACATTAAACATGCATAAAAAAAAAAAAAATGTCAAACTCACTCGTATAACCTAAATCGAAAAACCACCACGTGCTCTCCTACAACCACCACCTTAGCACCTCCTTACATACGATGCCTCCACCACCTCCTTTTACCATTGCTAATGCCACCACCACCCTCCTCTCCATGAAATTTGTAATTTTATTTTTCCTTAAAAAAATCTACTTTGTTTATTATCAACCTCCAACGAGACGCCATCGCTAGAGGTGCAACCCCAATTTACTTTGACGTGTGTGTGAATGCCATATTTGAACCAAATCAAACACTGGATGTGTTTCATGTGTGTGTATAATTGTTTGTTTTTGTAGTGATGGTTGTTGTGTTTGATTGTTATGGTGGTGTATGTTTGGGGAATTTGTTGGCGATGACGTCGACTGCGTGGGGTAAGTGTAACACAATGATGATAGCTGTTGTGGTGTAACACGATATATTACAAATGATGGATGATAGTAGTAAAAAAGGGGTGGCCTGTAGCGACGGTGTAACAATGAATATTATAAATAGTGATGACAACAACGGTGGAACAATAAATGTTATAAGTGGTAGAGTTGATAGTGGTTGTTATGTCAACGATCGCAGTGAAAGTGGAAATATAGAGCTAAATGTTTGTAGCACGCTTTGTTACAAATTACAGTGACGACGATGGTGGAAACAAGGGTCGTAAAATGTGTGCGGCATAATTTTACAAAATGTAACACATTGTGTTACAAAATTTATTGTAAAATAATTAGAACAGAAAAAACACACCATTTTGAGAATAAAAATTATTTAAAAGTAAGTATAGAGTTAGTAAAAAAATTTAAGGATATTTATGAATTGTTTTCAAAGACGTTATAGAAAAGAGTGCTACGAATAATTATGGAGGAAATTACACCTACACCTGTTTTTAGATTTTCATTTTCACAAATCCTGTCACAAGTTTAACTTTTCAATTATCAGGTTTTTATATTTAATTAATATTAATTATATAATTTTCGATATAATTAAAATCACCCAAAATCAAACCCTAAAATTCCCATTCTCTCTCTTCCCTCTCATTCTCTCCCCGTAGCTGTGACCCTAAGGTCCTTCCTCTCGCCGGCGGTCATCCCTCCCATTTCTCTCATCCGTCCCATTCTCTCCTCCCCGTCTCTGTGACCAGAAAACCGTGGCCTAAGAACCTTCCACCCGCCGGCGAAATAAGGGAACTGCCATTGGTGTTCTCGCGGCAAATGAGGGAACTGCTCACGGCCAACGGTTTTCTCGCTCCAATCTCATCTCAGCTCCAGTCCCCTCTCTGTCGCCGACACTCCACCGCCGATTGCGCAGTCCTCCTCTCTGTCGGGTTTTTTTTTTTATTTTGTGAGTGGTGCCGATCTGTTTAGTGGCGGCGGGGTACGATGGGGGTGTGTGTGGGTGCGTCTTCAGATGGTGCGATGGAGCTATGGAGGCAATGGAGTGGTGGTTACAGATCTGTTGTGGTGGGTGCGTCCTCAGATCTGTTGGTGTGCGGTATGGGTGTGTGTTTGTGGGGCGTCTTCAGATGGTGCGATGGTGGCAATGGAGTGGTGTTTGCAGATCTGTTGTGGTGGGTGCGTCCTCAGATCGCGTCCTCAGATCTGTTGGTGTGCGGTATGGGTGTGTGTTTGGGGGTGCGGTTGGGTGTCAGGTATGGGTGTGTGTTTGGGACGGTTTGGTGATGGATTAGGCGCGGCGGCGCAGTGAAGGTGGTGGTGGTGGTGGTGGTGAAAACGTCGACAGCGATGTTTGGAACGGGAATTTTGTTGCTGGGATGTGGTGTGTTGGTGTCAACGAAGGTGGTGGTGTGTTGGTGGTAGTCACAAATTGTGACCATCAAATTGGTTGGTGTGTGACTAATAAAGAATAAATTGTGACCGATAAATATTGTGTGACCCACAAATTAATAAATTTGTGACCAGTAAAAGTTATTTGTGACCAATAAAAGTTATTTGTGACCTATAATTCGATGTCTTGTGACTATAAAATAAGATGTGTGGCTTAAAAATTTTATGATTTGTGACCGATGAAACAATTGTGACTTTTAAATTTTTTATTTGTGACCGATGAATGAATTGTGTGACCGTTATATATTTATTAATAAAATATATAATTAATTAAGTAATTCATAAATAAATTTAAATAAAAACCTGATTTTTGAAATTTAAAACATCATACCTTAATTTTGAAATGTGTATAAGTAAAACCAAGATTTATGTAAACTTCCCATTTTTTTATTTTGCCCCATCCCCAAACCCGTTTAAAGAGGGGCGGGGCCCTTGTCCCATATATCGCTCCATTTATTTTTTATTTATTTTATTTTTTACTTTTATTTATTTTTACTCAATAAATATTATTACTTTTTTATCAATTTGCTAGAAATAACTTATATTCTTTTTAAAAATATGATAAATATATTATTTTTGTTTGATAAAAAACTTCAATTTAAAATTAACTTTGAACGGGGATGGGTAACGGGGCGAGGACTATAATTCCCGTCTCCGCCCTGTACTCGCTTCGGGACAATGACTTTCGCTCCGTCCTCGCCTCGTTTACCTAATTAGGCAGGTAATCCCCGCTCCATTCGGGGGCCCACGTGTTGCGGGTTTTTTTTTGCTATCTCTAAATTCGTAAGTTCAAAAATTAATATCTCGTTTGAGCCTCATTTTTAGGCAGAGCGTATTTTGAAATAATAGATTGATAGAGCATGTGTAGTTAAAAATGAAGGAACAATTGTTAAGTTGCTTATATTATTATTTTATTAAAGAATGTGTGATTGAAGGAAAATATATTTAAAAAAAAAGGGATCAAACAAGGTATAAATAATTGAAAAAAACGACATCAAGTGGAACATATCAAGACTTTGTACCTCGATTGGCCCACTTTATATTTTTCTTTACGCGATGTTAAAATCCTTCTCCATACAATATAAACGGATGAAATTTAAAACAACAACGTTTTCATATTATATTATATGGTTGGATGCCCAAAAGTGTGACACCTAAATTTATTTCAGCAGCCTCTAAAATGGTCCAAAATAGTGGTTCAACTAATTATTTTATACGTGCACGCTTCTATATTGTTGAAATGATGAAATATTTCCAGTCAAATACTTGAAAATTTCAAGTCAGTACAATATCAAGCATGCCATATGGTACTGTATTCACATATATATCAATATAACATAATTATTACCAAGAATTATGATAAAACTAATTAATTAATAAAACATCTAATTTATTTTACGTGTTCGTGAAATTATATTACCAAGATGATATGTTTTTGATGCGTCGACCTTGCATACCTAGATAATAGTTTTGGTCATTTGTGTGTATTTCAAAATAAAAATAGTTAATTAATTTTAAAAGGTAACTTCTTTTTCATGTATTTAAATTTATAGTTCCGTTTCTATTGTGCGATAATTGTGAAAATATATGTTTTTAATTGAGACGTGCAAAAAGATAACATCGTCTTCGTGATCAAAGATTGACCTAATTATATCCACTCCAATCTTTATTAGATGAGTCATCCATTGTCATCCATTTATGTACAAATGGAATTGTCCATTTTTCAGATGAGAGTTCTATTATTATTTTTCTCTTGTACGAACAAAACTCAAATCCTTTGACCAGCTAAAAGTCAAGAAAAGACCCAAGAAAATACAATCAAATATTGGCCTATAAATACCCAATCTGCATATACATGTCCAGAACATCAAACTTAAAGCGATCAAATTGAAAGAAAAGAGCATAACACCAAGCATGTCAACAGAATGCCAAGGTATTGGTACCAACCATCAAATGCTGATATATATATATTGCATGTATTTCAGATAATTATCGGGTTCGAAAAATATTTAGTAAATTTATCACATGCTTTACTTCATTACCATATATAATCTAATTCGCTCTATCGTAGTGTGAAATGTTAATGAAACTTTTATTTGTTGCCAATGTAGGTAAGAGTTCATGGCCGGAGCTCCTAGGTGTGCCAGGAGCGACTGCCGTGGAAACTATTGAAAGGGAGAATCCTTTGGTCACAGCTATAATTGTGCCACCAGGAACAAGTGTTACCACTGACTTTCGATGTGATAGGGTGTGGGTTTATGTTGATGACAATGGGAATGTTGATAGGGTTCCTCGTATTGGTTAGGGTTCCAACGGGAGGTCAAGCTCTTCAATTGTATGAAATAGAATGATGCAACTTGGTTTGGTACCTTAATAATGTTGTTTTTATATCAGTCTATTTCAATATATCGAAAATAAGGCTCAACTTATTGTTATTGATGTAATATCGTAGTAAAATTTTAAATAAAGGACATGTCTTCGCTAGGGAGTGTTAAAGGTCATAATGATTCTTCTTTGTATTTAATTAGTTTCTATATTAAATTTGTATCGGATTTTGTTAATTTATTATTATTTTTTTGCTTTATTTGGACATTCAAATACAATTTTCAACTTGCATTTATGGGCTAACCCTTCGTTGAGTTTGAACAATGGATATAAAGAAAATTGTAGAAAAAACATATAACGACGGTCACTCTTCATTTATGTAATGAAGATGGCAAAAGTACGCTTCAACGTGAATTATTGCAAACCCTAGCGTACGCTAACATGAATTTTGTTTGGTTGTTCTAACTAGAGTTGAGAGATAGACAAATGTTGAATATGATTGACTATTGACTATAACCGTTTTTATAATTTTCTTTATGTTATCGATTGAGATCAAACAATGGTCTGCTTTCTCGATCCTTATTTGAAAAGGTTTTCTTATTCCTTTTTTTTTGTTGCTTCTCCTGGTCGAGGTCAATTTTTATTTTTATTCTTTTACTTAAAACCCGGTTTGAGTTACTTGAGTAGAAGAAATGCATGCTACATGATAGTAAACCCAATTTTTCGTGCTCGTTTAATGTGTTGAAATAGATTATGATTTTTTTTCGAGGAAAGGTCATTGGTATCCTGTTCACGAGATTGTGTCATCTTCTCAACAACTTTTATACATATTTATCAAATTATTCATTTCATCAAGAAAATCTAGATAACATGTGGAAATGGTTTTCTAGCATACTTAGATTCAACACGTGTTTCGCATTTTGTATTTGAAAGCTTATCAGTTTTGGGAATATTTCCCAATCTCATTAATTTTTTAATAGAATTTATGTTAACGTGTCCAAATCTTGCATGCCATAAATCATAAGAATCAAGCAAGTAAACAGAAGAAGAAGAAGAAGAAGAAGAAGAAGAAGAAGAAGAAGCAGCTTTATTATTAATAACAGAAACATTTAGTTTAAATAGACTCTTATCTGCATACCCTTTCCCAATCATTTTGTATTTGGAAACTTATTAGTTTTGAGAATATTTCCCAAATCTCATTAATTTTTTAATAGAATTTACGTTAGCGTGTCCAAGTCTAGCATACCATAAATTATAAGAATCAAGCAAGTAAACAGAAGAACCAGAAGCTTTATTATTAATCACAGAAACATTTAGTTTAAATAGACTCTCATCTGCATACCCTTTCTCAACAAAAGTACCACCCTTAGATAGTACAACTTGACCACTCTCAAATACAATTTTAAATCCCTTTTTGACCCAAATAGATCCAGACACTAGATTTTTCCTTATATCAGGTACATAAAGGACATCCTTCAAACTAAGAATATTTCCAGAAGTAAATCTAAGTGTCACAGTTCCTTTCCCCTNTCAATGGATTTTAATTAAAGTCGATGAAATGTGCTATTAAAAAATTGTGGATCCCATGAACCGTGTAATTAAAATTGATTGTTGACTTTTACTTAAATTAAAAAAATTTAGCTGAACAAAACAGAGGCTTAGTATGTATTTGATTGAACAGAACGAAGTGTCCTAATTTAAGACCAAATTAATATAAAAAGATCTAATGGCATAAAACTAAAATATAATAGTTTTGCTTCATGTACAGATGCAACAGATCACTCACACGTGTGGGTCCCACAATTTAAAAAAAATACACAGTGAGACCCCCTCATTGTGAGTATTCTGGTATGTGGATTTGCTTCTGTACAAATGGAATTGTTCAAAATATAATCGCTCAATGGATACAAATTGAAGTATAATGATTCTATTCAAAATTTAGTCAAAGTACTGAGAATGAAATTAACCACAAACAACTTATTTTTTATTTTTTAAAAAAACAAAGTTAATAGAAGAGGTACAATCAAGCATTTTATAACCAAGGATCAAGTCGAAGAATCCACTCCAAATATTCGTGTGGGGCCAACCCCCTTTACGCCATAGGCGCACCCCCAAGCTTAGTGATGCTCTGTGCATTATTTCCCATACGAATATATGGAGTTGATTTCCTGGGTTTAATTGCATATCTTATATCCACTACAGTTTTTGAAAAGTGGTTTCATCTCCTTACATCATTTACAAGTCATAACGAATCGCCTACAAGACTTTATTGAATACTGCTAAGCATTCTGCAGTTTGTATATGATGTTCAAAAACAAATAATTTCATATTCTTGTGATATTGTTATATCTACTGGATTAGATTCTTACTAAAGTATTATGATTCTAATCAATCGTTCCTTTTTATAGCTGTATGAAATCCTATTTATAGGGCCATTCCCTTAGTAAATCATAGCGGACGCGTTATACAATTCCCATTGTTCATTCCGTTTTTTATGTCTCAGTATTATATTCTGCTTATATTTTAACATAGTATCACAACATTTGATTACCAGCCTTTTTAGTTATGTCTTTTTCTTCACGGCAGCAAAAATAAAACATTAACCATCCTCAGATTACGCTAGGATGCAAAATTTGTTCCTTTTTGTCCACTCAATATCTCCAAATTTCCAAACAATTGACGACCTTTTACGAGGTTTTTTTTTTAATCCATTGGTTTCATAATACTATATTGAGATTTTTTTTCCCTACTGGTTCAAAACCTTGCCATAAGTTTTTTCTATTAGAAATATTACTAGTTGCAATACAGCAAAGTACAGAAATAAAAACTTATCGACTGATCGAATCTCGTGACAGCACGTCGCACGACTGTTGCGACCTCTGTGGACAATCACCTCCAAAATACAACGATCAAATAAACCAATTGTGCAGCAATCACAAATGATTTTAAAACTCTCAAGTGTACTCTAGAAAATATGTAAAATAGAGTATAATATTTTTTCTGAATATGAAGATACAATTTCGTTTTTTGTTGTATATTTCTAATGCCCAGATATTTGTTTATATAGGCAGAAAAATCACATAACTGCCTCCACCATGATCTAGTATTTATTTGTAATTTTATGGCCCCAAGACCCCCATCAAAGACTTTTAATATAATGCGTGAGGTGTGACTCGAACCCCTGACCTCTCACACAAATTTCACACTTTTCACCAATTGGATACTTAATCTGAATTAATTATTTCTTTCACATATTATATTTATAGTATAAATATCTAACAAAAGATGCATGTTACTCAACTATATGTGGTCCAATAAAAATAAAAAAGGGTGAGAAAAAAAATCTCAATAATTCGAGCGAATCACTAGTTAATGCTTTGAGAGGCAATGAAGACATTCATAAATTTGAATTTCAGCACTCTCTGATTTCTTCCACATTTTCAACCATGTTTGGTGGTTATGCGAAGATATAAAAGAAATTGAAGCAAAAAGACATCGAGTGGAACAAATCAAGACTTTTGTAACCTCTAAACTGGTCCAGAAAAGTGGTTCAACTATTTTGTATGTGCACACTTTCTATATTTCTGAAATTTCGAAATATTTCTAGTCAAATATTTGAAATTTTCCAGTGTGCAACATCAAGCTAACCTTTTTTTTTTTTTTTCACATATGAATTTCGATAACGATGGATGTCAATAATAATCAAAACAATGAAATTATTACTAAGAACTATAATAAAACTAATTAAAAAAATTCTCTGTTTTACGGCTCTAGAAATTATACCACCAGCCATATTATACAATTTTGACATGTCAACCTACTGCATTTGAAAATTTTCGGTTATTCACTTGAAATTGGAAATAAAAAAATTAATTAATTCTCAAGGGTTTATTTTTATTTTTATTATTTTTTATTTTCCGAATTTACAAATCGAATTCTATTGCGATAAACATTGAGAACATAAATAATATTATTCAATGATGACAAGTCCTTAATTTTGACTTTAGATCCACACCTATCTTTATCAAATGCGTTCTATTATTACTTTTCTCTTGTACTAACAAAATTCAAAGTCAACGAAAGGCACAAAGGACTATCAAATAGTTCCCTATAAACTCCCATTTTCATTTGCATGTAAGCAAGATCAATCTTAAAGAGATCAAATTGCACGAAAAGGGCATAAAACTAAACATGTCATCTGAATGCCAAAGCATTGGTACCAACCTTCAAATGCTAATAAAATACACACAATTAATAAAATTATCACATGCTTTATTTCGTTTTGATATCAAGTCTTGTCAATTTAGAGTATTAATCTTGCCTTTATATAGTATGAAGTGTTAATACACATTTAGTTTGTTGCCTATGTAGGTAAGAGCTCATGGCCGGAACTCCTAGGTGTGTCGGGAGCTACTGCCGTGACAACTATTGAAAGGGAGAATCCTTTGGTCAACGCAATAATTGTGCCACCAGGATCAAGTATCATCCTTGATGTTCGTTGTGACAGGGTGTGGGTTTTTGTTGATAACAATGGCAATGTTGATAGGGTTCCTCGTATTGGTTAGGTCCAAATAAGAGGTTGAGTTCATCAACTCTCTGTATAAGTGATTTATCTTGGTTCGGTATCTATATAATGTTGTTATTGTGTTAGCGGCCAATTGCAATTTATTAGAAATAAGGCTCAAGTTATTGTTTTTATTGATACAAAATCTTGTAATAAAATTTTAAATAAAGGGCATGTCTTTGTTCACAAGCGTTAAGAGATCATAGTGATTCTTCTTCTTTACACTCGGCTAGTTTCTCTTTTAGTTTTGTAGATGTATTTTGTTTATTTAAGCCTCGGTTGGACATTCGAGCACAATTCAACTCACATTTTTGGGCTAAAATGGAACATACCAAGACAGTTAGGACTCTTTTATAAACTTTCAATTATAACAAAGACAGTTGTGAATCTCCAGCCCACCTTCGCTTCTTATACTTATTAGATAATTGCATCATTGGTCCCTAAATATGATCTTTACTTCAACTTGATCATTTATCTATTTTATTTGACAGCAAGTCCCCAGCCTTCTAACTTTGCGGCACTGTTGGTCCCTCATATATATATATATATAAGGATAGATTGCTCTTTGTTTTATAAAAAAAAAACGTTTCAAACTTGTTTAAAAATGATTTCAGAGATATATTACATTAAGGCCCTGTTTGATATGTTACATTTTCCATGGAAGTTAGAAAAGATTTTCCTTTTCCCACCTTTAGTGAATGTTTGATGCCAAATCTTTTCCGTGGAATTACTTTTCTCACCTAAACTCACGCGCCCAGTTTTCCTTAGAAATGATGAATTTGTTTTCTTTAGATTTTGGTAAGAATCCATTTTCCAGGTGTGGTTTTTTTTTTTTTTTTT